TTTCGTGAAGTTGCAGAACTATGCCCATATCTGAACATTACACTTTTGTCTGTTTCATAGCTTTTGATTTTACTTGTTCTTATCTCCATTCTCCATTTTTGGACTCTATCCTCATATCTATTTGTCATTTTCTCTCCCTTATTTTTCGGGAAACGTTACACTATCCTAGTCTTACAAATATTCGTATTTTTGCTTAAATTGTGGCCGAGTTTATCTATCCATGGCAAATAATCCGAAGAAATGGTGACTAAATTCATACTAATCAGTAATTAGTAACGGAGTGCGTTAGTTGTGGAGGTATATTGGTGTCTCTAATTGTATCTCCAATAATTATCAACAAGATCGTGCACCTAACTATAAAAGTAAGAAATCGAGGGAATAGTATAGAGTCCCCACGGATATAAATATTTAGTTCTGTTTTCTTACACAACGAGAAACTCGTGACCCTTAATTAATTGATTGTGATCTTTCACAACTAATTTAGCTTTAAATTAATTCGATTTTATAAAGAAAAAGAATAACGATAATAATTGCATCTATCCCACCATCTACTACTGTTTGGGATAGAGACACCTATTTCATCATTGCTTCGTATACGATTTACTTGAAAATTACTAGTATCTGTTGAGAGAATAAGCAAAAGAAGAATAAGTAGTTAGATTTTCTATTCACCATTCCGTTAGATTCAAAATCTGATCAATAATACTCTATCTGTTTCAAAATATAGAATGCGGTATACGAATGGCATCAGCAGGATATGCGGTGTTTGGGATGGATTACGAAGGACATGGTCGGTCCAAAGGTGCTCGTTGTTACATCAAGAAGTTCAGTAACTTAGTAAACGATTGCTACGACTATTACACATCCATCTCTGGTACCTACATTACCCGAAAAAAATTACTCTCTTCTTTCATCTTCTTTATTACTAATCACTATATTGCGTTTTATAGCGCGAGAAGAATACAGAGAGAAAGCAAGATTCTTGTATGGAGAATCCATGGGAGGTGCAGTTTCTTTGTTACTTCACAAGAAAGATCCTTCTTTCTGGAACGGTGCCATTCTCGTTGCTCCAATGTGTAAGGTCACACTTCTTCTTCTTCTATATCATCAATCAATCATTACTTTCATATTATCAAATTCCCAAATTGGATTATATAATTAATTGTGTATGTCTGATTAAATCTTGATCAGATATCAGAGAAGGTGAAACCACATCCAGTAGTCATAAATCTACTAACCAGAGTCGAAGAGATCATACCAAAATGGAAGATTGTTCCAACAAAAGATGTCATTGACGCAGCTTTCAAAGATCCGGTCAAGCGCGAAGAGGTAAAAATCAAACCATTTAAAACAAAAACAAAAAACAAACATTGTCCTCCTAAAACATTACCTTGTTACAACAATGTAGATAAGGAACAACAAGCTGATATATCAAGACAAGCCAAGACTAAAAACCGCACTTGAAATGCTTCGAACGAGCATGAACCTCGAAGAAACACTCCACGAGATCACATTACCGTTCTTTGTCCTCCACGGTGAAGCAGACACAGTGACTGATCCAGAGATAAGCAAAGCTCTGTTCGAGAAAGCAAGCACACGTGACAAAACCATCAAGCTATATCCAGGCATGTGGCATGGTTTGACTTCTGGTGAGCCTGATGCTAACGTTGACCTTGTCTTTGCTGACATCATCACTTGGCTTGATGACCGTACTGGCGACTCTGCTTCTCTCACCGTTACTCCGGCCCGGGGTTTAACGGCTAATGTTCAAAAGGTCGTTGACGGCGTTAGTAACGGTCAACAGAAACCTAAACGGTCACATGCTAGTCTTCTTTGTGGATTAGACGGTGGTGGACGCCGTTTAGTACATCGATCTTCTATGTAATAAAATTAAAACAGAGAAGAATCTGTTTGTTTTGCAACTCATTTTCGATTTCTCATAATAAAACCATCACCGTACGTGCATTAAATTTAACGCTTTTGTTTTTTATTTCTTTTGGAATTTAATTTTATGTAGATGTTTATTAATCGGTTTCATAATACAAAATTGAATTCGTTGCGTCGAAAAGACATTTTTTAATTGAATAATAAACTGTATTGGGCAGGGACAAAACAAATATAAATTGGGCTAAGTAGTGGGCTACATTTAATGGGCCATTAGTATTATACTCTTAATGCTGAATAATTCTATGGGCCTTACTTAATACAGCCTTCTTTAACCGCCATAGGCTTCCTCCTCATTCTTTCTTCTTCCTCCTGTGAGATCTTCGGGATTTAGCCGGTAAAACCCTAATTTCTTCGATCTGCTTTTTTTTTTTTTTTTCCATCGAAATCTGTTATAGCTTTTTAATTTCTCGTTTTCGCACGTTAATCCTTAGCAGGTTTCCAGTTTTTCAGAGAATTTGTTCGAGCAGAGTTCGCTTCTTGTCAACATGAGGTAATCCTCTAGGGTTCTTAAGCTTCGTCTGCTAATTTATATACTTCGTTTTCAAGATTTTTTTCTCTAACACTGTTTTTTCTCTCTTGATTTTGTATGGTTTTGCAGTAGGCCAATGGAAGAGGATACCAACGTAAGTAAAATCTCTCCCGTATATAGTTTCTGGATCTATTAGAAGCTCTTTCTCTGATATAAACATGAACTCTAATTTCTTAGTGTGTGATTCTATAGTAGCTTTAGTCTCTCGCTTTGTAGGGTTTGAGCTACTCAACCAGATTTTAATCCTCTATTTTGGATCTTAGGGGTTCTCAATTTGGGAATACAATTGCAGAAATTGTTGATGAATCATTTAGAAATCATGTGGTTTTTTTTTTTTTTTTGCAGTGGTAAAACTAGTAAACAGAGAAACTGTACCCCAGAATTGGCCTCTTTGTGATGGTAGTCTAGAAAGAGTTTTGGCAATGCGAATTTTGTTGGTTATGATCACTAGTTTCGTGTTCTTAAGATGGGAATCTTGAATTGGTTGTCGTCTTGTTTGATTCTCTTTTAGTTATCCTGGAATTTGGATCCTAGTCCTTATGCTTTACTGCTCCATTAGCAGGGAAAGACGGAGGAGGAGGAATTCAACACCGGTCCACTCTCGGTTCTGATGATGAGTGTTAAGAATAACACGCAGGTGTTGATCAATTGCCGCAACAACAGGAAACTCCTTGGCCGAGTAAGGGCGTTTGACAGGCATTGCAACATGGTTCTGGAAAATGTCAGAGAAATGTGGACTGAGGTAGAACTTTATGTGTCTAGTTTCTGTCTGTGGTTATATACTCAAATGTGTAGTAAACATCAATTTCTTACATGAGTTCTCTGGTTTTTTTAGGTCCCGAAAACCGGAAAAGGAAAGAAGAAAGCTCTTCCGGTCAACAGAGATCGTTTCATCAGCAAGATGTTTCTTCGTGGAGACTCTGTGATTATCGTCCTCAGGAATCCCAAGTGAGAGAGTTTGAGATGCCTGCTTCGTGGAGACTCTGTGGTTGGTCTTCATATTGCTCTTGCAAATCCTAATGGTTGCATCATTGGAGAAACATCTTTGAGTATGAGTCTTATTTCTAATGCTTCCTTAGTCTTTTTACTTGTGTTTTGCCTTATGACTATAACGCACCGATGAGTAATGCCACTAAACTTTGTAATTGCAAAAGACAGGTTTTTTCAAACTGTAGTGAGGTCCATGAATAGTAAAAGCACCAAACTCTTTCTCTACGTTTACATCAAAATAGAAATCAAAAACGAAATAAATTGTAAGAAAGGAAGCAGTCCTCTCTACATGTTGTAGCTGCCAAGTCTTCTATTTTTTGTTNTCAGCCATTAACCAGCTGTAAGGGTCGCTACTTTGTATCTCCGTTTGCTCAAGCCGAGGTTGTTTTGGTGGTGGTTCCAGCCATGGAGGAACCTTCCTTCTGGTCACCAAACACACGTTGACGGAAGTCCTTGACCATGAGAGGGAGTCCCTGACGAAGAGAGACCTTTGGTTCCCAACCTAAAAGCTCTTTGGCCTTTGTGATATCAGGCTTTCTCTTGTGTGGGTCATCTTCTGTGTTTGGCCTAAACTCTATGTTTGCGTTTGGATCAATCGTCTCTTGAACCACCTGCAACAAGACCCAACCACAATCAAAGGCATCAGAATCCAAGGATCAATGTAGAAAAGTCGAAGAGGGTGTGGTGTATATATAGAAAGAGACCTTAGCGAGCTCGAGCATGGTGAATTCACCAGGGTTACCGAGGTTAAATGGCCCGACGTGTTCTCCTTCCATCAATCTCATCAAACCTTCGACCTTATTAGCATCACACAAACACAGAATCAGATTGATACTAAAAAATAACCAAGACAAATGGGCAATAAAGTTCAGACCCCATTTGGTCCTATATCACATGATATTGATACCCATCATAATACTGCTAAAGTGGGGACCGTTTATGATGTCTCTCAGAGATTTGGGTCTCATGTCTTAAAGCCTATGTTATTAGATCCCACAACACACTCACTAGTCTCTTACAAATAACATGTGAGCTCACTTGATACAAATTAACTTCCCCTGTTTTTTAGCTCTCTGTACAAAAATCTTTCTACCCTCCAAAATATTAAAATAATAATGTGGTTAAGACACTCTATGCAAAAGTAAAACCCATTTCTTTTGTGAATCTCACACTAGAAAGCAGTTCCACTATATACAAAAAGAACTTAAAGGCCTATATACTTTCAAAAGCTTGAATATGATTTGACATAAAAGAATTTATGTGTAGCCAATTTGTATTACTATAATGGGGGAAAGCAAGGGCCTTACCAGATCAGAAACATACTGGAAACTCCTTGTCTGCTTCCCATCACCATAAACAGTCAACGGTTCTTTCCTTAGTGCCTGTCCAATTATTTAAAATTCATACCATCATTACTCTAATCATCCACTTTGAAGTTTCTTTACTTATTCATTGTTTGTGCCACTGGATTGTTAAACCAACCTGTGCAACAAAGTTGCTGACCACACGCCCATCATCTATACACATTCTTGGACCGTATGTGTTGAAGATCCTAGCAATCCTGACCTGTGTGACACAAACTTGGTCAATGAAACGCTCTCTGTCTCCTTTCTCATAAACACATAACATAACTTGGCTTTAAAATTGAGGACAAATGAAAAAGTAACTAACCTCAACATTGGCACCTCTGTGATAGTCCATGGTCAGCGTCTCTGCCGTACGTTTCCCTTCATCGTAGCAACTACGAACACCTGTTTCGACCAGTCACAAGAACAATGATTAAGTCAAGAACATATCAAAGAAGCCAAAAATTAAAGCTAAGTGACCACCAAGAAGCCCCAATCAGTACAGTCACGTGTCGGTAAAATTACGGTGTCACTAAAAAAAGCAAATCTTTTCAAGCAAGTTTTTAAAGAGTTAATGTGGAGGCTGCTTCTAAGGCAGAGACACGTAATCAGAGCCGCACGATCACAAAGACCCGTTTTTTACGGTTCAATTGTTTGACCGCACAGAAAATTGGGGAACCAGATCTGAAACCAAAAAAGCACATGTGGCGCACCATAAAACACCTGTTTTTCAACTCTCTCCCTTAACGTGCGCATTTCCCGATGAAATAAAATTCAAAAAAGCACAATAAATGCTCCAAACGTCGTCGCCTCACGTGAGAGGCACAGATTCCGATTCCAATGAAGAACAAAACAGAACGCTTAAAAAAAAAAAATCTGAAAACTTGAATTACCAATGGGATTAACGTTTCCCCAGTAAGTCTCGACCTGAGGATGTTGAAGAGGATCACCATAGACTTCACTAGTACTCGTCAGAAGAAATCTAGCACCGACTCGTTTCGCCAAACCAAGCATGTTCAACGTTCCAACCACATTCGTCTTGTATAATCAAAGTCAAGAAAACAAACAAACAATCGAAATCGAAATTGAAGAAATGAGAGTAGAGTAAAGAAAGGATATGATGGTTTTGACAGGATTGAATTTGTAATGAACAGGAGAAGCAGGACAAGCCAAATGATAGATCTGATCAACTTCAAGCAAAATCGGTTCAACAACATCGTGCCTTATCATTTCGAAATTAGGGTTACCGAAATGATGCATCACATTCTCTTTACGACCTGTAAAGAAATTATCAACAACAATCACAGTATCTCCTCTTTCCATTAACCGATCCACAAGATGCGAACCAACGAAACCAGCACCACCGGTTACAACGACTCTTAACCCTTTACGTTTCAATCCCAGTGGGATTTTACCACCCGTTGCTCCGATCCGGGCCAAGTACTCCAGATTAGGTTTCCTCTGGGATTGAATCGCTGGGAGGTACGATTCGTCGGGTCTGATTCCGTAACCGGAGAACGGATCGGAGTAAGAGATTGATTGGGTTGATCGAGGGAAGATTGTGAAAACCAAAGTCGCGATTGCAATGCCGACGAGGACGAAGAGAAGTCTCTGTTCTCGGAGTATGTAACGCATCGGACGAGTCACCAAGAACCATGGTTTGATCGGTTTTGGGTAGTATGAAGAATCGGTGGTCGGTTGGTCTGATTCGTGTCGCCGGTTGATCAGCTCGTTCGCCATCTCTGACCTTAATCGACAAAAATTCTAGATCTAGAATCGATTGAGAGAGAGAAATAAATCGATCGTAAGAAGAATTTTCCGGGAACTTTTTTTATTTTCACGGGAAAAAAGAAGAAATTCTCCGAGTCGAACTCGCCGGGAACTGAGTCGACCTTGAACGAGAGTGAAAAGCGAATCGGGTTTCTGTGTGTATTTAAGTAGAGAAGAAGGCGTTACAAGTCAAGGCTAATTATTCACTTTTATTACGAGAATACCCTTTTGTTTAATAAACGATTCTAATTTATATTTATGGCTATTTATTTTTTCTTATATGTACTTTCCTTTGAAATCGGACATTAATATTGTTACTTGGTCCATTATTTGCAACAACAAGAAAACACTTATAATAATAATATGATTTTAATTTTAAAAGGTCATATTGTGAATAAATGTAATGTTAGGATTTGATAGGTTCGTTAGGTAATGCTAATGTCACGTAAACAAAGTCAATGCCAAACCCTAACTTAGCACTCAAAGCCAAATTTGGTGTGAGCTTTGAGTGATTTCGACGTTCGTTTTCTTGTGTTTAATTTTATAATTCGCTGTCCCCGTTAAATTATGGGGCAATTACAAAAATGTTATTTTTTATATGCATATTTGCAAGAATATCATTTATGGATGTTCATTTACAAAAATACCACTAATTATAGATTTAAAAAGTTTATATCTTAAAATTCTAAATTCTAAAAAATATTTTGACACCTAAAACCCTCTAAACACTCAAAACTAAACCATAATAAAACATAATTAACACAAACATAAATAATATAAAGAAAAAATAATTTTGAAAAAGTGTCATTTTTTAAAAAATTTCAAAAGTATGGCATTTTTGTAAAGTAGCATTTGAAAAGTGGCATTTTTTGAATTTTTTTTAAAAAAAAATATTTATAAACATCATAACGTAATATATAAATTAAATAAGAACATTCAAAACAAAAGCATGTTCTACTTCTAACAAACTAATTAACAGTTCTTACAAAATCACATTCATAACGTTTTTAACCGAAACGTGATATATGCATCGTACCAAAGGTGTCCATGAGAGTTTAAAATGTGAATTATTGTGGTTTTATTTGGTCATATTTTTTACTTAAAATCTCCAAAGTGACCAATTTATTAAATTTAAGTCCAATTTTAGTAGATCTTTGTGTCGGTTAGGACTGTTTATGTCGTTTTAAAAAGTGTTATGGTATGTAACAAAAAGAATGTCTTAACAAAAAGATGGCTTCATAAGAATGAACATTAGTTCGGTAATAGTTCTGATTACTAATTATTGCTGAGCGAATAGTAGTGAAAATAAAATGATAGTTTAAATCTAAATTTAGTTCTTTAAAGATATATGTTGAGCATTTCAAAATTCAAAGTAAACATTTAAACTATGATTTGCTAATTCTAAAAGCATATCTTGACCCTAAAATTGAAACATTTACATGATTATAACAAGTCAATGAACATTAGTTGTCTGTTTAAACAAAAAAAAAAAAGAACATTAGTTTGTCTACGAGATAATTCCTTGGGTGTTTTGATTATTTGAATAGGTCCATAAAAGCTCTATCAAATATTTGATCAAACGAACCACTTTGGGTTTCTAGTGAAAACATATAGAAAAAATTGTATATTATAAAATTACTGAATCATAATCAATAACGTTTGATGGGCTTAGATCTTATGCTTTGGTGTGAAGTATATAGTTTTTTTTTTTTTTGAGAAACAAAGTATATACGTTTATGATAAATTTTGATCAATCCTTTTAAACTCTTTTTTTTTTGTCGTCAATCCTTTTAAACTCTAAAACAAAAATTTATCATAAAATTTTGGATTTGGAAGTGAGTTCAAATTTTAAAAAGGGGCATTGCGCGTTTACGTTGACTATACAAATTTGGAAGTGATTCTAACGTGGCGGTTAACTATCTCACCACACATCCCTCATTCACTGTTCTTGCCTACCTTTTTTTTTTGGATTCGTGATGGCTATAACATAATTGCTTTAATTTATCAATTTCTTTGTTTTCTTATGAATAATAATTGAATTTTTATGATCAATAGAATTAAGACTAGCTAACAACAAGATTCTCTATAAGCTGGTCCAGTTTAGACGATTTATATTAAAAACGAAATTAAGTTAGGTGGTGGACTGGTGGGTGAATGTTTTCAAAATCAAGGCCACTTAGTACATTTCTGAAGTCATTTTTTTAGTGGCTGAAATTTTCTAGATATTTTGTGTATCATCGGACTCTTTGGCAAAAAAAGATAATTTAGTTAATGCATTGTTTCAATTTCGGTTAAAAGATTAGAAAAGGTCAGTAATTTAACTTATACGGAACCATATATGAAAGGGACAACAATCACAAAATAAAAGCATCTAAACTTTTTGAGTATTCATAATTTCAGATTCCACAAAGGTTGACACCGACTTCTTCTCACGTTTGACTTTATGGCATGTTTGTTACTCGTTAGGTGGCTTCGGCTTGGGCCGATCAAAGAAAAACGAGCCCAATAATTAACATTAGGCCCTTTAAATTCGGTCAATAAACCGTAAATAATTATATTTTTATAAAATAGTTACA